ACATTTTATTTTATATATATATATATATATATATATATATATATATATATATATATATATATATATATATATATTCCTTTATTTATTTATTTGTTTGTTGTAAACTAAAATAAAAACATTATTTTAAATAACATAACTAAAATAAAATACAATATAAAAATCTTAAACTTTTTTCAACTGGTTGCCAATGCAACATTTCTAAGGAATAGTAAATTTGAGGTACTAAAATTCATAAAACTAAATAAACTAAAACTTGATAAAAAAAAAATGTAGACATTAAAATAATAATAGTAAGAAGAAGAAATAAAACTAATAAAAATGACAAAAAATATATATAATTTACAAATTATTTAAAAAAACTGCACAGTAAAGATTCAAGACTTGTGAATATGTCAGAGTGAATGTGTTTCTCTAGTCCTGTTGTCAGCTGATGTGTCATGAGGGGCATGATTGTGTGTTCTTCAGATTGAGAGGGGGAAAACGTTACATGTGAAAGCACAGTGTGTTTTAGCTTGTTTTGTATAAAAACAATGCTGTACATGGATTTTCGATTCAAGGAAATTGAAAAAATGTGAAGAAAAAAAGTGAAACACAACACACATACTGTACACGCACATCCTTTGGGATGATGTGCTAAATTTGTCAACACCTGCATCAGTCACACCTAATCAGTAGAACTAAATGCCCTTGTAACTGTAATGAATTTGTCAGTATGTAAATGGAAGCCAAAATCTCTTTACAGCATGACAGTTTTTGAATTAAAGTTAAAACTAAAACTTATTTACTTACCTTCATGTCAACCTGCTTTCAGTGTAGCACAAAAGGACATTTTGAATAAAATATTCATGCTTTTCTAATCAATGACTGATCAATCCTGGCGTGATGCAAATATGCAAATTTGAAATAGATTTTCAGTGAATACAGATTACAAATTAATTCAGTTGTTTATGAAAAGCTATGCATGGTTTAAGAATACTTTGTTTCCTGTAGTACAAGCATATTAGATCATATACAGTACTTGTGCTCTTTTTTATGTTGATTTAGGTGCCAGACAGTACCAAGTTGCGTGAACTTGTGTTAATGAAAGAAGTCTACCAGCTAATCCTGATGATGTGTGCTCTATATTGAAATACTAGAACAAAAACAAACTCGTAAAAACCTTCAAGTTGTCTGGAGGTAAAAATGTGTGTTTTGAACAATGGATCGTATGTTTGTTAGCTCATTACTAGCAAAGTGTCTCTCTTTCTCTCGCTGTGTGCTCTGTGACAGACAAGCGTGAATTAAGGGTAAATACCAGTAAAAGCTATGCAAACCATTTACACACTGCACTGCTTTGTGTGGGGCTGTTTGCACAGGCTTGGTTCAGACACGGGGCAAGTGCCAGCATCATTCCTCTCTGCTTGAGTAGCATTACAACTTCTGTCTTCTACTCTCTCTCTCTCTCTGTAGTCCTGTGCTAATACTTTAATAACTCTGCCAGTGTAAAATATGGTGTCCATGCCAAATGTGTGTGTGTGTGTGTGTGTGTGTACTTGTTTATGCTACATTGTGGGGACCAAATTTTCCCACAAGGATAGTAAAACCTGAAATTATTGACAGTGTGGGGACCAGCCTGCGGTCCCGAAAATATTGTTTGGTCAGTATAAAATTAATAGAAGTCTATGAAAAATCCCCACAATTCACAGAAGTGTGTGTGTGTGTGTGTGTGTGTGTGTGTGTGTGTGTGCGTATGTGTGTGTAATTTACATTTAGTTAAATTTATTTTTAGCAAGATTTAGGCCCTTGGACCTAGGCCATTCAAAAATATTTTGTTTCCTATTGCCAAAAGAAAGTGTTACAGGTTTGGAAATGACACAAGTAAATAATGACATAATTTCTATTTTAGGTTAATTATTCCTTTAATAGCATTATCCACCAGTAAGGGTAAAAAAAGATTAGATTAAATCTACTGAAGTGTTCCCTCAGCTTGTATGGAAAAGTCCCGTCTTCAGTCGAGTCGCCGCCTGGTCTGCTGTGACATATGTTTAAAGAATTGTCATCGGGAGCGATCAGATTAATGTCAGTGTTGGTTTTAAGATTACATTTCTCAAATAAAATCTGATTATACAAAACTGTTTTTCTCATGTCAGAGCCCACGGGAGGAGAGGGAAAAGGAAAGGTCACGTTTGGACTCAATGGTTCTGTTAATAATGAAGTTGGATCAGCTGGACAAAGAGATTGAGAATGCTCTAAGCTCCTCCCTCAATGGCACTCCCAATTTAAAGAGGCGGATCATCTCGGTGAGTGGCCACCATTCAGAAGATTTCATGCAAGTTATACACGAATCTCATGTTGGGTCACACTTTATTTTAAGCTCCAACTCTCACTATTAACAAACCATTAACTATGACTTTTGCCTTCACAAACTCCTAATTTGCTGCTTATTAATAGTTAGTAGGTAGTTGTTAAATTTAGGTATTGGGTAGGATTAGGGATGTAGAATATGGTCATGGAGAATAAGTACTAATAAACAGCCAATATGTTAATAATTGGCAAGCAACTAGTTGTTAATGTTAATTGAGATTTTTCTAATTGAGTTAATTCTAGTGAGCATTGGTCCCTATACTAAAGTGTTGCCAAGTCTTGTGATGATACAATGAAATAATGGTCAACAGCTGCTTTAGACATTCAGTACCACCACTAGATCTATATATAATTCTTTAGTAGTTGACTGATATATCACCAAGGCTGAAATACAGGCCAGTATTTGGTATTTTTTTATGATTATCGGCATTGAGCGATATGTCGAAAGTTGGACTTTTATTTTGACAGACTGACAATGCCAGATTCTGAGCGTTTAGTAATAAAATCTTAAAAAAAGTTAAAGAGTTTAGTAAAAAGAAGTAAACATTCAGCAAATACACATTTTTAAAATTTAAACCAGTCTTTGAATATCTAATGAACATTTATTTTCACATACCTTAAAAACTTTGTTGAATCCAGCAGTGATATCTTCTAATGTAGGTGTTTATAGACTGCATAAACAAATCCGTTTATTTTTACAGATTTTTTTTTTTTTTTAGCAATTTCAAATCATTTTGTTTTCAATATATATTCACTTTCAAATTATTTATAATTTAGTGAATGTTATGTCAAATAAACATACATTTCATTTCAGCAATTGTTAAGTATGTGTTTTTGCATTTAAAGTAGGACAATGTTACTCTTTTCCTAAACAGGAAGTTGATTTAGAAGTGCTGGATTCAGCAGGAAGTCGTTCAGCCTCATCACAGTCTCTAAATGCCCCACTTTATCGCTCTTCGTCATCGCTGTCATCATCAGGACCCTCTGGAACTTCTGGAGCTAGACCAAAAAATGAGGTTAGTTAACCAAAACCTGGAATTACCTGTTGTGGAACAATTTATCAAATCAAACATAAATAGCTTATACAAGGCTTGCAGTTTCCAGTCACCTGAGCAGGTCAGCTATTCACTGATGTGAAGAGCACCTTTACATACCATTCATACATTCCCATGGCTCTGGAATTGGTTAAACCTGGTGTCAATCATCTCTTAAGTGTCTCTTAAGTGTCCAACAATTACATATGCTTTTCTGTATATGCTGAATGACAGTAAACAGTAAATTAGAGTGTGCTGTGGTTCCAGCAGCCACTTTAAAGTGTACTGAGGAAAGATTCTCTCTCTCTCATCTTGTCTCTCATCATTTTCTTTCTCTCTGAGTGGCTAAAGCTGCTGAAACATTATAATAACAGCTTTTACTCTCTGCCAACTTCCACCAGCTAAAACACACTGAGAAACATTCCTTACAATACATTTCTTCCCCTCATGCACATGTCTGTATGTCTGTGAGTGCAAGTGAGATTGTATGTGAGTTTGCATTCTGAGTTGAGCGTAAAAAACTTCTGTTTGATTACCCATTACATGCTTGTTGTTTGCACATGGCAAACAACACTTAAAGTGTCAGTGAGTGTCAGGAAAAGATGGAGAGAATGTTTTCATTTCTGTATGTGTGAACAAGGTTTAAAAAGGTTTGTTTGGGAGGAGAAACAAATGAGTAAAGGCAGATCTGAGTAAGTGAATGTGAGGAAGGACATAAAAGATGATGTTGTTTATCAATGTCAAAGTCAATATTCTTCCAGTTGATCAGTCAATGACATCAAAAACCTTTGAATAGCACTTTTGAAAAAAAATTATATTGGATATATAAATTGAAATAATGTGCCTGAAGACATTAATCTTCTTATATATGTTATTTAAATGCTGTTTAATTTATGTGTCTGATGATATTCATCTTTAATTGTAATGTTTAATCTGTTTAATTTTATACAGTAACAATACAAAACAATTTAATTACAATAAAAATACACACACACACACACACACACACACATATATATATATATATATATATATATATATATATATATATATATATATACTAATTATTCCATAATATCATAATATAATAATAATAATAAAAAAAAAAATATATATATATATATATATACACACATCAGCAAACCGCTCACCCACACGACGCCATACACGCTGTCTGCCATCTGCCCTACAGTGAAAACCAAGATTCATCTGTGAAGAGAACACCTCTCCAAAGTGCCAGACGCCATCGAATGTGAGCATTTACCCACTCAGGTCGGTTACGACGACGAACTGCAGTCAGGTCGAGACCCCAATGAGGATGACGAGCATGCAGATGAGCTTCCCTGAGACGATTTCTGACAGTGCTCACTAACAGAGATTTAGACAGATTTGTGAACAATATTTGAGTGAAATAGGCCTTTTGTGTACATAGAAAAAGTCTTAGATCTTTGAGTTCAGCTCATGAAAAACAAAAGTGTTGCATTTATAATTTTGTTCAGTGTATATCATGGTTTCCACAAAAAAAAATTAACCAGCACAACTGTTTTCAACATTGATAATAATTACAAATGTCTTGAGCACCAAATCAGCATTCAACTTTGCCATCAAGGGGCAAAAAGCATTTAAAAATGCTTAAAAAAGCATTAAAAATATCTTAAAGTAGGAAACAAGTTATTTTTAATTGCAAACATTTTCACAATATATTACTGTTTGTGAATCTAATCTGGACTCAGATTTCTGCCTTGTCTCAATATGATCCCTTTTGCTTCATCTTTCAGTCTGTAGTCATCTTGACTGAGGTAATGTTAAGCAAGTTGCTCGTTGAATGGCTGTATCCATTTAATCTTGATTAATGGGTCAACATAGCAGAGTGCTCAGACACAGGTCAAGGAGATGAGAGATGAGCAATGGAGTCAGAAAAAAGATAATTAAACACTATAATGAAAGGCACATGGAATGCAAGTTTAAACGTTTGAGCAAGTACCCGCAGACATCATATATAGTGTGGAACACGTGTTGCAAAGTACGCATAAAGCCATTCCTGTTTACAAGAGAGACTACTGTTTACCCTGACACTTATTCAATATCTGCAACCATGAAGTGTGTGTGTGCACATTTGTAAGCTTCTACTCACACCTTTCTGTTTGTTCATTCCTGCCATTCCTCACTGGATTGCATAAGTGTACCTGGTAAACACATGAAAGATTAGGCCTTTTGATACACACACAAGCTAACTAGCACATACGCAGAATTTGCACGCAAGCCTCTTTGCTCTTGCTAAGGTATGTTAAACACTAATGGAGTGCTGCAAGGCCACGGCTACCCTTCATTGCTAATGTATGTTTTTAAGATCCACAGTAGCAGTGACAGTGAATGCCCAGAATGAAGTTTATTGAGGCGTCACTGTATGTCCATACCAGAAAGCAATGTTATGCTGGTAACGTCTGTGTACATGCTCATAGTCTCCATGACCAGAAAGCTAAATAAATAGATGCTGAGAGAAAGGACTAGAAGCTGTGTCAGTCATGAAATCATGAGGACTCATAAGGGCCTGTTTGAAAATGCATTAGTCACCTTCTAGCTCATGGCCTTTGCATGGTCTGAAATTAACTGTGTGTGTGTGTGTGTGTATGTGTGTGTCTGTGTACTTCTTTATGCTACATTGTGGGGACCAAATGGATAGTACAAGGATAGTAAAACCTGAAATTTTTGACATTGTGGGGACCGGCCTGTTTATCTGAAAGTGTAACAATGCAAACAGGTTTTCTGTAAGGGGTAGGCTTAGGGTTAGGGTTGGGTTAGGGGATAGAAAATATCGTTTGGTCGGTATAAAAGCAATAGAAGTCTATGGAAAGTCCCCACAATTCACAGAAACAAATGTGTGTGTGTGTGTGTGTGTGTGTGTGTGTGTGTGTGTGTGTGAGAGAGAGAGAGAGAGAGAGAGAGAGAGAATTGAATTTCAACACACCTTTATTACAATTCTTTTTTTAAACACATTACACAATCAACCCCTACATTGCACAAAACTCAAAATACAAAACCCAAAACAAATTAACAACATACAAAGATTTAAAAAATGGCAAACTCTAAATCCTCATCAATAACTTCACACAGAGCCCTTTTATGACACCAAATCGCTTAAAAAAGCATAAGATCTCCCATAGCCTTATAATACCGGAAATCAATCAAAATTCTAGATTTCACAAGGTTAAAAAACACAATTTGTAAATTACTACTTAAATTTTGTTCAATCTTTATTTTCCTGGTATCATAAATTGCCATTTTTGCCTGACCTAGAAGAAAATTCAACAACTGGCAACAGAATCTGTTTTTCCGAATATATTTAAAACCACAAATAAACACTTCCTGTGAAAAATTCTCATCAAAACGATTGAATAAACCAGTTAAAACTTGAAACAGTGAATCAAGCCTACTGCAAAACAAAAAGTATCATGGTTTTCACAAAAGTATTAAGCAGCACAACTGTTTTCAACATTGATGATAATAATAATAATAATACTACTACTAATAATAATAATGTTTCTTGAGCACCAAATCAGCATATTAGAATAATTTCTGAGTATAATACACTTCTTTCAAAAATAACAGCAGCAACAACAAAAGTATGATTTAAAGAAATTATACACATTCCAGCATATTTTCTCAACCTAAAATATTTCAGTATTTTTGAGTGTTTTTTAAAATCCGTTTTCACTACAAACATCATTCATTTTTACCTCTAAATTGAATATTTTCCCATGTTAATTAATTCAAAACTCTTATGTTACCATCTTCCCTGTTTTATGAATAATTGACCTCCATTTCTCTTAATGGAGCTGAAATAAAAGTTATTCTTTTCCCCTCTCTCTCTCTCTCTCTCGCTCTCTCTCTCTCTCAAATTCAAATTCAAATTCAAATTCAAAAATTGCTTTATTGGCATGACTGTACAATTTATAATTCAATGTTGTGTGGGTTGTGTGTGTGGTGTGTGTGTGTGTGTGTGTGTGTGTGTGTGTGGGCGCATCACTGATTTGTTGACTCCTCCCTCTTTTTGTGACAGACATCAATGTATCTTGCTGCTAGTAAGATACAATCTTGTTTTTCACCTAATAAGTATTGAAGTTGTGTTTTCTTGTTTAACATTTTGAAGTCAGGGTAAAGTATTTCAAATTTGGGATAAACATTCTTTCTAATTTCTTCATAGTTAGGGCAGCTGGTGAGGAGGTGAGACTCCACTTCCCCATGATTACAGTATGGGCAGATGCACCTCTCTTTGGACAGCCAGTGCTGTCGATATCTGCCCATCTCTATAGTAAGAGTTTGATTGTTCAGTCTGCACCTCGTCATTTGTCTTCTTAATTTACAGTCTTGCACTGTACTCAGATATTCTGCAGCAGTGTAATCTCTATTTAGGGCCAAATAACATTCAAGTTTACTTTGTTTTTCTGTTGTTTCAGTCCAATAGGTTAGATAATTTTCTTTTTGTGCTTTTATAATTTGGTTGGGCCGAATTTTGTGGATGAATATTTCAGAGTCCTGATGCTGGATGTTGTTAGTCATGTTAGTTTGTTTTTGCAGCTTCAGGACCGTCTGAATCAGGGGACTTTTTTCAGGGTTCACTTCATGGTTTTTAAGGGCTTTAAAATGGTAAGAGTTGGGGTCACTCATTTTTAGGTGTTTCCAAAATGTGATGGCTCTTTTCTCAATGCGCATTAGTAGAGGGTATTGGCCTAATTCTGCCCTGCACGCGTTGTTCGGTGTGCTCCTCTGTACTCTGAGGATACTTTTACAGAACTCAGCATGCAGGGCTTCAATCTGATTTTTGTCCCATTTTTCAAATTTGTGATTTAGGAGAGGACCCCACACTTCTCTGCCATATAATGCAATAGGTTCTATGACTGATTGGAATATTTTGAGCCATATTCTAATTGGTATTTCAATTTGGATAGATTTTTTCATGGCATAAAAGGCCCTTCTTTCTC